ACTCCCTTTTGGGTCAGGACCCTCAGTTTGAGAAATGCTGGTCTCTCTCGTGAAATCTGTATAGTATAGGGTAAAAGCACACAAAAGACCAGATTTCACGGGGGGAGGCCAGATTTCATGGTCTGTGATGGGTTTTTCAAGGCTGTGAATTCGGTAGGGCCCTACCCATGAGCCATGGACCATTAAAGATATTGATTATCATGTTTATATTTGGCCTTCATTGCTTCCCTTGAGGAGACAGTTCCCCAGCCCTGTACAGCTCACTGGGACATATTTCATACCCTCCTGCGGCACACAGGCCACATCCCGCAGGTCTCACTGATTATGGCTTATTGGCCTCCTCTGTGGGGCCTGCTTTGCCCAGGGCCCCCCAGTCCTGGCCGATCCACAGGCGCAGGTTGTCAGCACCTTCATTGTTACTACCAAGATGCTGTTCCCAGCATGCAATGGGCCAGCTTGCTTGGGCCAAAGTGAAGCACTGCTCCCTTCCAGTGTGCATGGCCAGCCCTGCTCTGGGGAGAGGGACACATCTGGCCCACTGTGGGCTCCCTAGTGCAAACCCGCTCTCTTCGCTCCCTGGGCCTGACTCATCCCAAGGCCTGGAACAGAGGGGAGGCAGCTTACACCACTGCTAGCCAGGGGCTGCCAGGGCCAGGGCCCTGTCTGAGCCACTGCAGCGCTGGACTGCCTCAGCTCCCCCCACCAGGATATTTTCTGCCCGGGGGCAGAGCCAGCACTCGTTCTCCAGCCATACGGGGGCTATTTCCTGCCCCTTCACACCAGTGTAGCCAGGGCAGAAGATGAATCCCGCTATTTGGGCCAGACCCCCCACTACCCAGCCCCTGGATCCCCACTCACACCTGGGCACAGCAGGGTACAATGCAGTCAGCCAGGGGGCGGGTGTTACCTTGGTGCCCATGGTGACACTGGGCCAGGCAGCAGAGTGAGGCCTCGCAGGGGTCAGCAGCAGACCATGTCCCTCGCTCCTGCCTGGCCGGCCGCACCTGACCTGGCTGTATTTTAAAGAATCCTTATTGAGGTTGCAGGAAAAAACCATCCCGATGTGTAGAAAGAATAGTAAATATGGCAGGCGACCAGCTTGGCTAAACAGTGAAATCCTTGCTGACCTTAAACGCAAAAAAGAAGCTGACAAGAAGTGGAAGATTGGACAAATGACCAGGGAGGAGTATAAAAATATTGCTCAGGCATGCAGGAGTGAAATCAGGAAGGCCAAATCACACTTGGAGTTGCAGCTAGCAAGAGATGTCAAGAGTAACAAGAAGGGTTTCTTCAGGTATGTTAGCAACAAGAAGAAAGTCAAGGAAGTGTGGGCCCCTTACTGAATGAGGGAGGCAACCTAGTGACAGAGGATGTGGAAAAAGCTAATGTACTCAATGCTTTTTTTGCCTCTGTCTTCACGAACAAGGTCAGTTCCCAGACTGCTGCACTGGGCAGCACAGTATGGGGAGAAGGTGACCACCCCTCTGTGGAGACAGAAGTGGTTCGGGACTATTTAGAAAAACTGGATGAGCACAAATTCATGGGGCCGGATGCGCTGCATCCGAGGGTGCTAAAGGAGTTGGCGGATGTGATTGCAGAGCCGTTGGCCGTTATCTTTGAAAACTCATGGTGATCGGGGGAGGTCCCGGATGACTGGAAAAAGGCTAATGTAGTGCCCATCTTTAAAAAAGGGAAGAAGGAAAATCCGGGGAACTACAGGCCAGTCAGCCTCACCTCAGTCCCTGGAAAAATCATGGAGCAGGTCCTCAAGGAATCAATTCTGAAGCACTTAGAGGAGAGGAAAGTGATCAGGAACAGTCAGCATGGATTCACCAAGGGCAAGACATGCCTGACTAACCTAATTGCCTTCTATGAGGAGAAAACTGGGTCTGTGGATGAGGGGAAAGCAGTGGATGTGTTATTCCTTGACTTTAGCAAAGCTTTTGATACGGTCTCCCACAGTATTCTTGCCGGCAAGTTAAAGAAGTATGGGCTGGATGAATGGACTATAAGTGGATAGAAAGCTGGCTAGAATGTCGGGCTCAATGGGTAGTGATCAATGGCTCCATGTCTAGTTGGCAGCTGGTTTCAAGTGGAGTGCCCCAAGGGTCGGTCCTGGGGCTGGTTTTGTTCAATATCTTCATTAATGATCTGGAGGATGGCATGGACTGCACTCTCAGCAAGTTTGCAGATGACACTAAACTGGGAGGAGTGGTAGATACGCTGGAGGGTAGGGATAGGATACAGAGGGACCTAGACAAATTAGAGGATTGGGCCAAAAGAAACCTGATGAGGTTCATCAAGGACAAGTGCAGAGTCCTGTACTTAGGACGGAAGAATCCCATTCACTGTTACAGACTAGGGACCGAGTGGCTAGGCAGCAGTTCTGCAGAAAAGGACCTAGGGGTTACAGTGGACGAGAAACTGGATATGAGTCGACAGTGTGCCCTTGTTGCCAAGAAGGCTAACGGCATTTTGGGCTGTATAAGTAGGGGCATTGCCAGCAGATCGAGGGACGTGATCATTCCCCTCTACTCAACATTGGAGAGGCCTCATCGGGAGTACTGTGTCCAGTTTTGGGCCCCACACTACAAGAAGGATGTGGAAAAATTGGAAAGAGTCCAGCGGAGGGCAACAAAAATGATTAGGGGGCTGGAGCACATGAGTTATGAGGAGAGGCTGAGGGAACTGTGCTTGTTTAGTCTGCAGAAGAGAAGAATGAGGGGGGATTTGATAGCTGCTTTCAACTACCTGAAAGGGGGTTCCAAAGAGGATGGATCTAGACTGTTCTCAGTGGTAGCAGATGACAGAACAAGGAGTAATGATCTCAAGTTGCAGTGGGGGAGATTTAGGTTGGATATTAGGAAAAACTTTTTCACTAGGAGGGTGGTGAAGCACTGGAATGGGTTACCTAGGGAGGTGGTGGAATCTCCTTCCTTAGAGGTTTTTAAGGTCAGGTTTGACAAAGCCCTGGCTGGGATGATTTAGTTGGGATTAGGTCCTGCTTTGAGCAGGGGGTTGGACTAGATGATCTCCTGAGGTCCCATCCAACCCTGATGTTCTATGTTTCTATGACCAGCCACCACTCCGGGTCAGTGCCGCTCAGATGCTGGTACTTCCCGGGCTCAGCCAATGGGGCGATGTGAAAGGTGCGTCCCCCCAGGCCAGGGCTGGCCCATACTAACCCGGGCACTCTTGGGGAGATACCAGTGTAACCCTGGGGGCTGGGACTCCCCCACCCCCAAGCTTTCTGCTAATGACAATGCAGCTTCCTCATCCACAGCAGAAAAGAGGAGTTGGATATGAATTTCTCCTCCCTCTGGGCCTGGTACTTCCCACAGAGAACTTGCTGCAGCCTGAGTCAAGCAGTGTGTTTGCTGCAGGCTGGGCCTGGCCAATCCCTGCAGCCCCTCTAGGCCCCACCAACCAACGGGCCTGCTCCGTGCAAAGCCTCTGTAAACAGACAGGCCCTTTCTATGCACAGGCACAGCTAGCCAGAGCTCTGCACCTGGCTGCAGGGGCAACTCCCTCACCCCTCTGCCCAAGAGGCCAACTGGCAGGACACACCCCAGAGCCTGTGACAGCCATAGCCCCATCACTCACACTAAGGGGCCCAGACCTGTTCCCGCAGGTGGAGGGGACCCCGCCGCACAGGCAGTGCTGGCTCAGGAGGCAGGGGGCAGGGGGCAGAGCCTCTTACCTTCTTCTTCTTCTTCAGCAGTACCTTCACCCCGTCCACTGACACCAGGAGACTCACTTTCTTCTTCTTGATGTTCTTTGCTTTAAACTCGTACTGGGGGAGGTAAGGGAAAGGCCAGTGAACCCCCTGCACCACCTGCCCACGCCCTCCCACCAAGCAGCACCCGATTGCCGGCATTGGGCGCTGGGGCAGAGGGCAAAGGAAGGTTCTCGTACACTCGCACACACACGTGCACACCCACACACGCATGTACACATACAAACACACACACATGTGCAAACAGAAGCACGTACATTCTAGCCCACAAGGATCTTGCTCTCCCTGTCAGTCTCCTGCTCCCCGCTTCTCTCTCACACACAAGCAGAGCGTACAACAGGGACACTGATACACAATATGTCATACCAGCTGGGACCAACAATGCCACTACGCCAGTATCCTGTGTTAGAAGCTCAAGAAAGACAGCCCACTCCTCAATGCCCCGGCTGGCTGCAATGCCAACTCCTGGTGGCACGAACGACCCAGTGACACCTTTTCTGGGGAGACGGGATGTTACATTCATCATCCATTTTTATTGCAAATCTTCAGAGAAAAAAAGTACCTAGGCAAAGATGTCAGCAAGTCACTCAGAAGTTGGGATGCTAACCCACAGGGCTGGACCACACAGCACGCACACCCTCCCAGGGCTAGTCCATATCCACACCCCACCCCACTGCTTCCCAAACTGCCATCCAGGGATCACTAGCTGTCCCTGGAGCATTTGCTGGTCTTCTGCCCCATGCAGCTGACTGTGACCAGTGGCTAATGTACCCTTTCATTTAAAGTGAATGTAGTGATGTTGTATTACACCACCGTGGGTTTGGCTCTAGTCGCTACAGTTTCAAGCTCAACAGAGCAAAATTGTCTCTGGTGCTTTTCTCAAATGTGGAGGCTCTAGGGACACACAAAGTCCAAGGATACCAACCGCAGACACAATCACCAGCACAAAGTTTTATTAAAGCACTAAACAAATTTACAACTACCCATGCCTATAGAAACCCTCCACAAACCTATGCAGTAATTATACCTGCAGTCATCCTCACATCCCCAACGACATTCATGGGAACGATGGACCTCTCACCAACTGATCATTGGTAGGGGGAGAGCTGCTACTGGGGGTTTTCCTGTGGGTATTCCCACTTTTACCCAACCAGGGAACCCTTTATATATTGCAATTCTACCTATGCCTAACGCCTTATGCATATGCATGAAGGTGTCAGCCGTCTTTTCCTTATCTGTACTTCTACACCCCAGGAACATTGGGGTGCCCCGTTTTATAGGTTGTTTCTAGTTCCTCTTATTCTCATTAGCATTTACGCACAACATATACCATGCGGTCAACACAGACATTCCTTGATGTTACAATCAGTTGTCTTGTGGTCTCAGACAATACATTGTGGTCTACTGCAATCACCTACTGGCCCATCTTTACCATAACCGTGTGACTTTATGGGCATAGGGTTATTCCTAGTGACTCACTCATGTTAAGCATTCTGATGCCTACGGCCTAGTATGGCTAAGCTGAAATCTTACAGTTCTCAGCCTGTAGGCTGTGCGTTTCAGCCTTGCTTTCCTTATCTACGTAATACACACTCATCACTGTCAATCCTATACGTCTATAATCCTACAACTTCAATCTATTTAGCATTGATTGTATATGAACTGACCATAACATCACTTAATACAATGATACGTGGATGATAGAACAAACTAACTGGCTACACTGACCAGCTCAGAGGCAATGAGAACTACACAAAACATGTCCCAGCTCTCACATCTCCACAGGGCAGGGACATTATGTGAGCACCAATAGGGGCAGAGGTGGGTCAGCGCGGTGGGGCTGGGTCCGTGTGACTGTGGGTTGGGCAGCTCTGGGGCTCCATGAGCTGATCTCTAGGAAGATGTGGTCCATCCTATGGCACAGCAAGAACCCCTTGGACGTTGATCTCTACAAACAGAAAGGGGGGGTTGGCTGGTTGTTAAAGTAGCCACTCAGACCCAGCAAATTCCTGCTCAGCCTCCCCAAGCCCCCTGCAGGTTCTACTGCAAGCAGTTCTTGGCCCACGCTGCTGTGCTGGGATGCTGACGTGCACTTCTGTGTGGTAAGCACTTGGGGGTCCTTGGGGACAGAAGGTATTGACAACGGTTAGGCTCTGGCACACTGAGACCACGGGCTATTGTGGTAACTAATCTGTCTCACTGTGTCCTTGTTCTCCCCATCTGTCTGTCTGTCTGCATCTGGTGTCTCTTGTCTTGTCCTTAGATTGCCAACTCTTTGAGGCTGGGACTGTCTCTTTGTGCTGTATTTGTACAGCGCTAGCACAATGGGGTCCTGGTTTAGGCCTGGGGCTCCCTACGGACTCCACAACATAAATATGAAATACTAACGGCTGAAGGCTGGTAGTAAAGTATATTGCTATGTCACCGACATTGGGCAACTCTGAATCTGGTGCAGGCTGGTCAGTCTCCCCACCCTTTTGGGATCATTTGAGCCTTGTCTCAGGAAATCACAGTCTGACTCAAACACATTTACATGCCTTAAACTGAGGGGCAATCGCCCTGGTCATTCCAGTGTATGCCAGAGCAGAGGTTCTCAAATGCGCCCAATGTATTCTGGGGGGGGGGAGGGGAGTGTAGGAAAAAAACATACTGCACACATTTTACCCACAGCAATGAATAACTAGCAAAGCGGATTCCTCCAGACATATCATGTCCTCAGGTGGCGCTGTGCATTTGACTCTAGGTGGCGCTGTGCATTTTGATGGATTTCTGTTAAGCTTGCATAGCATTATACAAAGTGATTGCCATCTGTATGTTAATCCATTTGCTACGGCACAGTGCGCACGTGTAATTGTAAGCATCGACTAGGGTGACTAGATAGCAAGTGTGAAAAATTGGGACAGGGGATGGGGGGTAATAGGTGCCTATATCAGAAAAATCCCCGAATATCAGGACTGTCCCTATAAAATCAGGACATCTGGTCACCCTAGCATCGACCACACTCACAGTTTTGCTTTTGCTCCTATTACAATGGATTGTTAGCTTGTTCGTGGAATTGCTCTGCTCCAAAAACCAGGAGCACCCATCACACTAGTAACAACAGTGCGATGCCAGTAAGCAGCATCTCACTTTCCTGTATACTTAAACGGCTCTGTTTGAATCAGTGCCTTAGTGGTTTTCATATTTTGTGAGAGTTGAATGTTGATGTTTTTTGTCAGTGTATGTACTTGTGTGGCAGGGGACACCGAGAAGGTGGCGCGATCAAATAAGTTTGAGAACCACTGTTCCAGAGTACCCTGTGTGCTGAGCACTGGCTGAGTGTTGAGGAAGGTAGAGCAGTATGAGGTAAGGGACAGGTGGTTTGTTGCTCATGCCCCCAACACACACACACACACACACACACACACACACACACACACACACACA